CTAGTCACCCGTTAATAGGGTAGGCTCCGAGCCCCTCGGTGGGGATATATAGTGAGCTGGTGATGATGATAAAGTCTAGATTCTAGTCACTTTAGTTAATATCTTAACGAATTCTTCATTTCTTGTAGAAAAAGGTGGAAAACGCTTGATTTCAGTAATATTAGATAGGCCTAACATTACTGATGTAAATAGTAAGTAAATTTTAAGTAACAATACAAAACTAAAATTATATAACAAAGTGGCGAAATTGTACATCTCTCATTTCATATGTTAGCACAAGCGCTGATAATACATTTGGTAAACATGTTCCGTTATAATAGTTGTATATGATAATTATAATATTAAATAATAACACAGATTAACAAACAATGATGTGCATGAAACGTTGACCCGAATTAAAATAGACGTATTTACCGAAGCATCGTTCAGTTGCTTCTAAACGCATATAATTATATTTAACAATAACCTATGTATACTAAATATACTACCGTATACAAGACTAATGGCTATTATTGTAATGAAGTGCAGCATTTATTGTCCCTACTCGTCTGCGTAGAAACGTGACTTAAAATTTAGCTTTATGTCTGTGCTATGTATTGTAAAACTGAATTCGCCTGTGTTCAGTCTGAGAATAGAAACTAGAATTTTAAAATATACTCTCGTTCCCCTACTTGTCTGTAGAACATTGGTAGAGTCGACTTTATCATCTTCGCTTGAATGGGCTTGTGCAATACCACGACAGAAAACAGTAAATTGTAATTAAGTCCGTGTTTCTTCTGACAAGGGTGCCTGACGAAAGCCAAGATTTAATCTTCTTGTACTTGTACAAAGAAAGGATAGGAAAAAAGATGTAGATTTCAAGGGGACGCATGCGATGGAACGCATAGGTAGGGAATGGGATGGGATGGGACGTGTACACAACGCATATACGTTGGAAATACGATTTGTATCTATGGTATCTGTTTTGGCGAATTCGGATAGGCACTCGCTCGTTTCGTCACCTTACATTACATAAAAGTAGACATTTGGTCACCGATGCGGTATTGTCTCCTTTTTCCCGGCCCCGACGCAGCGTCTGGACGCTTCTAAGGTCGCGCGCCCCAATCACTTACGAAAATACCTTGTCGCAAATGGTACTAGCCTCATTTGTGCCGCAATAATCAATAGTCAATGTTCTGCACTCAAACTATTCTAAAATTCAAGACCAAACTCGAACAACAAATTTGCATAGATTTGTATAATTTGACGGATGGCATTGCAAAAATAGCTTTGTAATTTATAAAATCCTAGTTAACCGCTCACAAAGGAGAATTATAAATCAGCGCCGATTGTTAAATTTATTGCCGCGCTTTTTGAACTTAATTAGGTTATTCTGATACATGACACGTAGCCATTGTCTATGGTAAGGGTATAAATTGCGGCAAACACTAGTTTGCTATTCAAAAGGACAACTTAAATAGCTACTTTAAACGACTGACATACAATTAATTATTTGGAATGCACTTTAAACAGTATTTGCATGCGGAATTTTTAATGCATTTGAGAAGATTTATGTTTTTTAACAATTTATTTTGAAACTTAGTATTACCACAGATAATAAATAGGTACTAAACATAATACTATTACGATGTTTCACGTGACAATAGCAATTATTTATAACTCTGTTCACTCTATTCACATTCAAATAAAAATACCAAATATCTGTACCTTATAATAATACGGTGGCCTTATCCCGTAGACTCCTGCAACCTTGACCTATAACAGTCGTTTTACATTGTAGTGATCCTATCCGTACTGCACTTATGCCAAGTTTATACAGCTTATGTCTGCGAAATTTTGAAAAGATGGATGGATGTAAGTTACGTAACCTCAGTCTGGAATAGATCATAGATGGGTTAAAATTACTAAGATTTTTTATTCCACTTGACTCAAGTCGCCGACCACTATTGAAACCTATCTTTTTTTGTGCAGTTTCGTTAGTTATGGGCTGGGGATATAGAGCATCAGATCAACGGCGCTGGGCGGTGTTACACCCAGCGTGCGGCGGCCGACAACAATCGCCTATCGCCATTGCGGCGCGCCAGGCCATACCCATCTCTATACCCGCTATGGAACTAGTCGGCTACCAGAATCCACTGCCGGGGCCCTTGACTATAACAAATAATGGTCACTCAGGTAATCATGAAATATGTATGGGCGTCCTTAATGACCTAAACTAAGACCTCTAAGTCTATTTATAGAGTTTATTCGAAGTAAACTTCTCTATTTTTCAACTATCTACAACCGCTTGCGACGCCCATGAATCATTACCTCAAAAATCATAGGTGTTTGTAACCACGTAACTACAGAACGACTGGATAAATCTGGATTAAATTTAGAACAGAGGTAACTGTCGGAAGAGGGCATTTTATGAGATAGGGTGACAATGAAATACTTCACTTGATTTTAAGTATTAACTACCCATTAAATTTACAAAATATCAAGGACGCTAAACTTATCTAGTTATCAAGATCATAGTTTAAACTTACTTTTCCAGTGGCACTAACGATACCAAAGTACTCATCTGAAGAGGAAAAGAAAGGTTTCCGCCTACCCTACATCTTCGGCGGTCCGTTGGACAATGAGTACGAGATCGAAAGCTTTCATTTCCACTGGGGAGATAAGAATAACCGCGGCTCGGAGCACACACTCAACGACATGCGTTTACCTCTTGAGATGCACATCATACACAGGAACAAGAAGTACAGAAGTTTAGCAGAGGCGTTGCAGCATCCTGACGGTCTTTGTGTACTTGCTTTCTTCTATCAGGTTAGTGAATTTTTTTGTGCATTTTATATACAGTGCGGTATGTCTATCCACTTCGGTTTAATAGAATTCTACGCTGTGACTATTTTTTTTTAAACCGAAATCTTGTCGTAGCAACATATAAACTTGTTGGTAATGATTTCCCGAGCAAAAACAATTCTTTAACTGTGTCGGTTTTCGTATCTACGTTAAGGATTTTACCGATTCTAAATGCGTTGGTAAATACAAGAGTATATCTCAAGTTTTATTTTCAGGTTGTGGAATTCGACGCCAAACTACTAACGCCCATTGTCAAGAATCTCTCCGCTATTGAGAACTTCAACACTAGCATGCAACTTCCCCACACGTTCTCCCTTTCTTCTATTCTGTCAGGTTTAGACACTGAACGGTTCTACACGTACAAAGGCTCACTGACCACGCCGCCGTGCGCCGAAGCTGTCACGTGGGTCATATTCTCCGACTACCTACCAATCTCCGTGTTCCAGGTAATTTTTTTATTATATTTAACGTACGTAATAGATCTTTTAAAGTAGTTGTAGTATAATCTGCATTTTGAATTATTTACAGTGTCAAAAGTGCGCACCTTTATTAGGTTTTTATCTCTATGTCATAGACTATGTTATATTATACACTATGTCATAGAGTAATTACCTGTGATACAAAACTTCTTACATTAAAAAAACTACTTATTTCTCAAAGACAATTCGAAGGTTACTAATATTTGTTGATGCAACTAACAGCGTACTCTTCAGTTTTTTGGGGATTATTAGAGAAAATTACCTTTAGGGATTTTCAGTGATAAAAATAGTTTTAGGCTTTGTAAGATATCATGTTTCTTTAGATAATCTAGTCCCATCGTATGGTGTAAATGCTAGCTTACTCTGGCTTAGCAAAAACCTGTAACTCTTATCTTCCCTATTTTGACGCATTATTTTACAATTACTTTGTCTTTTAGATGGACAATTTCCGTGGCCTTCTTTCAAACCTCAACCTGCCTCTCGTTGACAACTTCCGACAACTACAACCGCTCTTCGGTCGGAGAGTTTTCGTTCGTATAACGTCGAAAAATCCGAAATTCAAGAAAACAAAACTACATTATTCAAAATGGGACTGGGTAGGACATAAAAAGGCTGAAAATGACGTCGCGGAATTCGATGACTAAACAAATAAAGCAACGGTTCTCCTGACAAGACAATTGGTCCACGGCGATGTCTATTACTAGAGAGGAAAATACAACCCAATAAATTAATGTTTTATTTTTGCTTTGTATAATCCTCTCTTATTTAGTAATGCGATTCGGTTTAGAATGTTCTAGACCACCGAATGATGTCGGTTTCGTATTCTAACGGATATGTTTTCTTTATTACGGGTACTTAAAACTTACAAAAACCAAATACTGGGTAAATGTTAATGTTTTAATCTATGTTCAATTTGACATTTGTGTAGGCACAGATACAATACCAAATATTTGTGCATATAGTATTACTATGTATAAGTTGTTAATAAATATTTGTAAATAAAGTGATTAAAGTTTATTTAGTATTTTTATTTCTAATAAATATACAAGTAGACTATAATATACATGTGATAACGTTATAACGCCAGCAGTATCTAATTAAAAGTTAATCAAGTACTGTAGTTATCAGCTCCAAACATTGACTGAAAATTAAAAAAATACGAGTTAATAATTATTTGATCTACTAACATAATACAACTTACCTTATAACTCCAAAACACAATACTGCAAGCTGTATTTATAGCACACGGCATCAAAGAACACACCTTGCCATAGACACATGCAGCACACTGACATTTCAATTCAGGAAAAAAATAAAACACAAACTTTATGGTAATATTCTATAATACAGTTTTAACTCTATACAAGATTTAAATAAGTATTTTCAATATTCAACAATATTACATATTTCAATAATTTATCTATATTTAAATGCTTCGAAATTATTGCAGTATGGTATAGTAAAATAATTTCTTTAAAATAAAATTTATTGTGGAATGTGTTAGGTTCAAATGTCAAACGAGTTTAGTTCAAAAATTGCACACATTGACAGACTTATGAAAGTTGAAAAAAAAAAACAGGTTATTTATTAGGTGTTAGTTGATTTCTTCGTTTTGTTTTGGGCATATTTACATTTGCCAATATGTTGCAAACGTTACAGGTAAAGAACCATGCAATAAACTTTTTTTAGCGTACCAAATCCTCTGGGTTGAACATTCCCTGTAAATAAAAAAAAATAACCCCATAAATATAACTCCACATTGAACATGTATAGCACAATATATTCAAATCAATTAGTAAATGTTTTTATTTGTGTATAACAATTTCTATTTAATAAAAATATAAGCAATCTATGATTTAAAACAATAAAATAATGGCAACCCATTATAATCTAATGTCATTGTCAATTGTATTATATCAAGAAACTATCTTTTGTTAAATTTGTGGTATGATACAATGAGAATAATAGGCTTACTTCATTTATTTAAAAATTTGCACGAATAAGAATTGTTTTTAAGTTTATAACTAACAAATCACCAAAGATTACAAGATAAATTGTTTCCCTCAGCATTCTTTAATAACATGTATAAGAACATAAAATGGCAACATTATCAGTTTTAATGAGGTACCAACTTATTGAAAAGAATTTTGAAAATGATGTAAACTTGCTAAAGATTATAAAATTAAGACAAGATAGGTTTATTTCAGCTTTTTTAAGAGTGTATTTTTAACTTACTTCATTGATGCAAATATTAATATTCAAGATAATGTAGGGTTTAAATAAAAGGAACACAAAACAACAGAAAATGTTTACAGCAACAACATTTAGATGGAGTTCTCAACGAGAAGTTACAACGAAAATAATGAAGTGTTTAAATCTGAAAAATTGTAGTGTGGTAACACTTGGTTTAAAACAAAGTGTTGTCTCTATTTTTTCCAAAGGAAGGAATGAGATCACATGTTTATGTGAGATTGTTTTAATGATAATCAAAGTGAGAAGAATAACATTTGTATTCAGATATGAATAAATATTGATAATCTGTATGTGTGTTTTATTAAAAAAACGAGCTGCTGCCCGCGATCGTCCGCGTGGTATTAGAAAACATACAAACTATGTAAATTACAAAAAGTTACGTATCCCTCGGGAACCGAACATTTCTCGGGCATGAAATTTATCCCATGTGTACTCCAGACTTTGTTTTATATCTGTGCCAAATTTCAATAAGATATGTTGAACCGTTGCAGAATGATCGAGTAAGCATTAAAAAATTAAATTAATGAATCCCAATGGAACCGTAACTATTCCCGGGATAAAAAGTACCCTATGTGTTCTTCCAGACTATGCTCTAAACCTGTGCCAAATTTCATAGAGATCCGTTCAGCCGTTTAGGCTACAAACGCTAACAAACATCCATCCATCCATCCATCTAAACTTTCGCATTTATAATATTAGTAAGATATGTATTACACTGATTATAAATTATAATAATAGTTGATTTAACAAAGACCAGAGTTATGCTAATCCACCCTTGGTTTTTGCAAATATTATTGTCTTATTAAAACACCTGCATTATAACATATTTCACTTTAACCAAATGAAACAGATTATTCTGATCAAAGATAAATAATAACAGAAAACTTAACACCTATACAAGTAAACCAAAAGTGAAGAATAGGGAATAGCGCCATCTATTACTAAAATATGGCAACAATAAGAACCAATAGTTACACTTGCTTTTAACATTTGATTTAACTATTAGCAACATTGATTTACATTTTTTTTAACTTACAGGTTACATACATTACACCTACAAATTGCTCAGTTTACTTCATGTATTTAAAAACCATAGTAGCATTTAAAGTGTTAACTATAGTGCAAAATGTACTAATTATTGAATAATGAATAAAACAATCTTAGTATGTGGTCTATGTGTTCCTTCTGACTGTTCTACATCTGTGCCAAATTTAATTAACATCTGTAAAGCTGTTTTGGAGATATGGAGTAAAAAACCGTCCATCTAGACTTTGCAGTTATAATTCTAGTATGATAACGAGTTATACCTTAGCACGACGTAAGATGGAGTCCTTGCTGGCATCATAGGGATGGTCCTTGGAGGGAATCTCCAGTACTGATGGAACGGGTGCATTGTGCGAATCAATCACATGACGGATCATCTCCGCAATGTTCTGGTTGATAAGGATGATGTCTATATCATCACGCTTCACAAACCGCTTGAAGCAATCCTCAATCTCGCTGACTGGTGTGTCTGAAAGTTACAGTGCAATGTCTATAATTCTCTTACATCTATAGATACATTATGTTTGGAATAAAACGATGTAAATTTCGCCTTTTAGATGATTTCTAAATTATTGGACATATGCACAGCCCTGTCTTCTAATTAGTAATTTTTAATACTATACTGCAATTTCATTTTAATAAGAATAATAATTATATAGAAGCACAGTTTTAATCAATAAACAACTCAAGACAAGTTCTACTTACTTTTGTCCACAACCATGAAGTTTGGGTGTCTGTTTTTATTGATTTCTCCGATCCCTCCCAAGAGAAAACCAACACAGGTGTCCTGTAATTAATAAAATAAATATTTAAATACCGATTATTATAAGCATAAGACAAAATACATAAGAAACATAAAGGATATTGGCTGAAAACAATTGGATTTTTTTATTTTTCTATTAGGTCAAAGATTAAAAGTAATGTTAAGTAAAAACTATAAACATTACCTCATCTCCAATAACGCTGATAAGTTTACCCTTAACTGCAGCCTGTAAAGCCATTTTAGATGATTTTTTTAAATTATTTTATTGATCTTTATGTGCTGTCACAAGAACTCATCACCTGACTATTGCTTTCCAAATGTTGCTCACACTGATAATCTCATATCAAAACTCTTACATAATCTGTGCAACAATTAACTCTCTTTAACATTGCTAAAACTGGCTATTTTACATTACAATATCTTACGTTACGCTGTTTTTTCCTCATTTCGCGTCTTTTTAAATTATATCGGAAAAAGTAAAAATCTATTTTAAAACAACACCACTATTTAAAAACGCAAATATCATGGTTTCTATACGTTTGTTGACATTGACAGTTGACACTGACGAATTACGAATGTGATTTGAATAACACAATGTGTTTTGTAAAATAACAATACTAGTAAATAAGTATTAATATTACTGTAGTTATTAACTAAGTGTTAAGCATATATGTTACAAAATGCTTAACATAAAGTATTATGGTAGTAGTTCTGAAGACGATGGAGAAGACAATTCAGAAAGTAGTAAACAATACAGCAATGAAGAGTTGTTGACACATTTAAAACCTGTAGATCCAAAGTTATCATTGGCAAAGAAGATGCAAATATGCGCTGCACCAATCGTGACTCCTACGGTAATAATTCATTCTACCCTAAATTTCTATAAAAAAATGTCCCTTTCGTACTTTACATAAAGTCGTTTATTTGAAGACAGGCAATAATGATACTGTATAAAAGATTTAGTTGCAACTATTTTGCATAATATCAAAAAAAACAAAATTTCATAACAATTTGTAACTTTTATGTTTTCTGTTTACAGAACAATGATGACACTAGAGTATTAATCAAAGACAATCAAGAACTAATGCACAATCCAAAGTATGAGGAACTATTTGCACCATCCTTTGGTCCGGACAATCCATTCCAAACTCAGCAGATGAAGGCGAATAGGAATATGTTATCAGGATTTGTTGAAAAGGCGCACATAAGTGAATTTCAGTTTGAAAATCAAAGACGGACATTTACAAGTTACGGTTATGCTGTGGATCCATCTACTGATGGTGAAACTGGTACCGCAGATGCTATAGTAGGTTAGTTCCTAGATTTGACTTTTTGTATTACCTGCCCCCCACTCTACCCTCCCTGGCGACAACCAAGATGCCAAAGGGGTAAATATCAAACATAATATAAATACAACAGTGTCATAAATGGTAAGACCACTCTTAAACTCAAATTCCATTAAAAGTTTGCTGTTTTAAAGATTTTAAATACCAATTACCTTGCAAATTGTTTGAAATTCATTTCAGATTTTGGTTATAAACACTCACATTTTATAACTAAATGGTGGTTTTAACGCTATACTAAAATAACAAGAACATATCTGTATTTTTTTTAATGAGTAAATTCAGAAACTTTAGTACTGCTTTCAAAAGTTATTTTTTTATTAGAAATATACATCATCTAAGTTACATATGCCATATTTATCAATAGATTTTTTTTAAAGACGAAATTCTATGCAAAAGCACACTGGATTATAAATATGAGATTTAGTTAAAAAAAAACCATTATGTGTTAAAATAGAATGAAAATCAATCTTTTTATGTAGTTTCAGCGATGGTGGCGGCACCTGTGGAAGCGGAAGGTAAAACTGTATTTGAGACAATAAAGAAAAGGCCTTTAGACAATCGGAAAAGAAACAAAAATGACGATCCCAACGATGTTAACGGTTTTCTTGGACCCTGGGGAGGATATGTTGATGAAAAGAGGTACATAATTGTTTTTTTTTAATTCAGAGGATTGAGAGATATAGTTAGCCCACAGAAATCTGGAGATGTTCTAGTTATTTTTACATATGTGTATATTTCATTTTGAATTTTTCAAAGAATCTAAAATATTTATCTGCTATGGAGACTCAGACTTAAAAAATTAACCTAGTGGAATTGATATAGGAAGTTATATTGGCTTGCTGGCTGGTAATTGTTTGTTGTGTATTGATTTTGTAAAGTTTCATTGAATATTATTTTTTACATTTCTGTTTTTAATAAGTCTGTGAAAACAGTCTTAAAGGTAACATTGTTTAGAAAGGTATATTATAACTTATTTCCATTTTATTAACCCATCATGTTAGTGTTGGCTTTTTTTTATTTTTATTTTTTTTTTTATATATCATACTTCATACTAATATTATAAATTCGAAAGTTTAGATGGATGGATGGATGGATGTTTGTTAGAGTTTGTAGCCTAAACAGCTGAACGGATTTCGATGAAATTTGGCATAGATGTAGTTGTAGTTGTTTGGATAGTCTGAAAGAACACATAGGCTATTCAATTTTTATTTTTTTTTAATTCCACGCGGACGGAGTCACGGGCGAAAGCTAGTTTTTTATATATTTTTTTAATTTCATATTCCACTAAAACAGCATTGAAATTAATTTTTCTCCTATTTTTTTCTTGTTTCTTTGATTATGTAATTTTATATATTAAAGGGTGATGAAGCCAGAAGGTGACGAGGCAAAAGAATTGGAGGAGATATTGGCAAAGAGACAGAAGAAGGGCAAAGTGGATGATGACAAACCATTGGAAGAGAAATCTATATTCCATTGTAAGTATTGAAATTCAATTTTTTTATATCTATATGTGATGTTAGGAGGGTGGCTGAGATGTAGCGGGAATTTAAAATTATTTGAATCCTTTTTTTTATTCAAGTTTTGTAAATTCAATATCTTTCTTATTTAAAAAATAAGCTACTATTTTGTATACTTCCAGACTTTGTTATATATCTATCTATTTGATAGAGATTGGTTTATCAATTTAAGTACCATGTTTGATTACTACAAACATCCATACAAACTTGCATTTATTAGTAAGATGTTTTGTAATTCCAGTGGACCAAGCGACTGACTATCAAGGTCGGTCATGGCTGGAAGCTCCTCGCAGTGAGACGCAGCTGCGCAGTGACACCCCACCTGATAAATGCTTCCTGCCTAAGGTAAGATTTTTTTATATGTTAATCATTTCCAAGATTATGTGTAGGAAACATGTTAGGTAAACTCTAGTTGGAAACTTTATTTATTCAAATTCGAAGTTACTTCATACATTTTAGAAATCTAAGGAATCTTGTATTTTCATATCCAAGATTAATGCAAATGTACTTGTTGTTTCCCTGCGTCATTATTGTTGTATTATAAAAAACTTTACTGTTTATATTCTGTACTCAAGGATGGGGCCTGAACCCTAAACGGGACGGATTTTGTTAGATTTTAACTATATAAGCTAATTATTTTTTCAATTTGTGTCGCCAGTTACATATTTTTTTGACCGATTTCCCAAAAGAAGGATATACTCAATTCAACTGTGTTTTTTTTTTGTATTCCAAAGCTATCACAAAATTCGAAATCAATATGTCTAATTTTAATTAAGAATTGACAAGTTATTTATCAATGTATGTTTGTAAGGATTGAAAACACCTTAGTATTTAAAAAAAAAAGTTTTACAATTTTTGACTTTTTCGGGGTTCCTCTTTGCCGCTTTTTAATTATGTGCATTATGTTAAATTATTTAAACATTTTTAAACATTATATAACTAACTATTTTAGAGCTTAAAGCTGTAAAATTATGTGCATTATGGTATCGATGTTGTTGATTTGACTCTTTCCGAGTTAGAAAATTGGGGGGGGGCTCTTTGCCCTTGTATAGTAAGTAATGTGCATTTCTGTACGGACACTACGCAGGCGCACATCCACACGTGGCGCGGGCACACGAAGGGCGTGGCGGCGGCGCGCTGGCTGCCCGCCACCGCGCACCTCCTGCTGTCCGCCGGCATGGACTGCAGGGTCAAGGTACGCACACACACACACATGGAAGACTACCCTAGAGGACAAATACCTGGTGAACCCTATGGAAGTAGAGGGAAGGGAAGATGATTGAAATACCATCTTACTACACTTATCTTTCCATACCAACACTATAACACTATCTTATTAATATTATAACTGTGAAAGTTTAGATGGATGGATGTTAGAGTTTGTAAATTGCTGAACAGATTTCAATGAAATTTGGCACAGGTGTAGAGCAAAATCTGGAAGAACACATAGACTCAAGTAGTCTATGTGTTCTGCCAGATTTTGCTTTTTTTGTTGTAATTCAGTTTAATAAATTTTAATAATATTAAAATACTGTAATGCATTGCGCACGGTGTCGTGGGCGAAAACTAATCTAAAAAATTCAGTTTTCGGACATATGTATTAGTTACATAATGAATTCTTCAAAACTTTATGGATGAAATACCTAACTCGGAGTTCAGCTTAAGTTAAATGACTAAGTTTTATTTAACGCTGACTCGGGACGTAGCACAAAAACCTATTGCATTGATTTCAAAGAAGTAGGGTGAAGATGGGGTGATGATGATGATGATGATGATGATGATGATGATGATGATGTATAGTGTAAAATAAGTTATGATATAAAGATCTGGGAGGTGTACGGGGAGCGGCGCTGCGTGCGCACGTACTTCGGCCACCGCCAGGCCGTGCGCGACGTCAACTTCAACAACGCTGGAGACAAATTCCTTTCTGCAGGTATGTAATCTTAATGCTAATGTTTCTATGGTTGAATGGATGGATGTTTGTTACTAGGTATATCCGGAAACGCATCATAATGACATTTTGGCTTAGATATAAAATCTCAGAAATGTACCGCACATTACATCCTGTGGGATTGACAAAATTACAAGTCGTTTTTATTGAAATTCTATTTTTAATTAAATATAGCACAGATAAAACATAATTACTACACCTGATATTTTTTAAGTTTTTTTTACACTGACGAAATCGCGGGCAATAGTTAAGTCAAAGATAACTGTCTTCAGTCATTCTATCGTAGCATCTATTACACATTCACTCCAAATTATTAGTTGCTAGTAACTTTAATCGTTTAAAAACAAACATTTCGCCCCGTTATGTATGTATGATTTGAATAGCATTAACGGCAATACGGGCTGGTCATATATCACGGTTGACGGATAATAGATGGACTTTAGAAGCTACAAGATGGAAAGGGCCAGCGGGAAAAAGGAAAGTCGGTAGATCTACAAAACGGTGGTCTGATGATATGATGGAAGTGACAAGGAATGACTGGCTGACTCCAAGCAAAAACAGGGCAGGCTGGAAGGAGATGGAGGAGGCCTTTACCCAAGGCGGGATCCATATTTAAAATAAATAAATAAATAAAAAAAATGATGTAATACACTAACAATACTAATAACTATAATAAGGTGTGAAACTAACAATACTAACAAAATGAAATTTTTGAAATGCTATGTAAATATGGACTTATTATTATGTATGTATGTACGTATGTATGTATTATTAGACAACTTATTTAATTGATACTGTCGCTTTTAACTCAGAGCAATACTTCTCGTCAAGACTTAGGATGCGCGCCAAATCTATCCATACTTCTAGTGACATTTGACAGCTGTCAGCTAGGGACGTGACGTTTATGCCGATAATCTAGAGTTGCGCCAATTCTATAGCACGGTACTAATTTTATTCTTAACAGTATGTATGTATTTATGTATGTGTGTCCGGAGCAGCGTACGACCGCTACATCAAGCTGTGGGACACGGAGGCGGGCGCGTGCGTGTCGCGCTTCACGTCGCGCAAGGTGCCCTACTGCGCCAAGTTCCACCCCGACCCCGACAAGCAGCACCTCTTCGTCGCAGGCACCTCCGACAAGAAGATCGTCTGCGTGAGTTACCGATTTTTACTTTTCAGGACCTTTATTTCAAACTAAGACTTGCCCCCCAGACAAAGTGACTTTTTATTAGCGTTATTGCTAAGAAATTGACAAAACGTATAGGAATAAATACGTGACAACGTGACTTGAAAGTTATTACCACTTGAAAAAATGACTTCGATCTATTTCTATACTATTATAATAAAATATAGGTAAATACACGGTACTTAGTTTTGTAGGATGCCAGCAGTCAGACATCTATACTAATATTATGAAGAAAAATTTGTTTATTTGATTGTAATGAATAGGCTCAAAAACTAGTGGTCCGTTTTTATAAAATTCTTTCACCGTTAGAAAGGTAATTTGTAAGTAACATAGGCTATATTTTACAATGTTTTTTTTTTTTAATTCCACGCTCACGGAGTCGCGGGCGAAAGTTAATTAAATATAAAAAGCCCTTTAAGCGATAAATTTCCACGCTATTCAATTTAATTGAATGAATTGGGAAAAAATGTGCGAGAAAAGGACAACTACAAGCAGGAAAGAAGGAAGAGTTACTATAGTAATAGGAATTATTGGATAAAATGCAAGCAAACAAATGCGTTCGTTGTCATTTTAATTTTCAATTGATTAGGGAATGTAATGTAATTCCATAGGTAGTTATAAAAATGTATCTGTGAGTGTTGTGTGCAGTGGGACATCCGCAGCGGCGAGGTGGTGCAGGAGTACGACCGGCACCTCGGCGCAGTCAACACCATCACCTTCGTGGATGAGAACAGGCGGTTTGTCACCACCTCGGATGATAAGAGTCTCAGGGTTTGGGAATGGTGAGTCACTTGTATTCATTCTATTTAATCCTTTCCAGCTATTTCTATTGTCTTTTGATTTAAGGGTAGATGAAAGAAATAGTTTGAATTTTTTTAATGAAAAACTGTAACGCACAAGAAATGTTTATGTAAGTAGGTAGAGTTAACAAAAAAGACGCTGCATAAAATGTTTTAAATATGAAAAAAGCCACAATCGTCTATATTTTTTTAATGATTGTTACACAGTTTCTTATTTCAAGCATAATATGTTAATAAGTTTCTTTACTCTTCTATTCATTTTGTAAGGTATACCATACATAACTGTATAAAAATAGATGTTCAATATAATTTTTTTTTAACTTAACTACTAAATATTTTTATGCTTAAGCTAAGATTTCAGTCATTACGTCAATGTTATAAGTAAGATGTACATGTACAGGGACATCCCGGTGGACATGAAGTACATAGCGGACCCGTCCATGCACTCGCTGCCAGCGGTCACCGCCTCGCCCAACGGCAAGTGGCTGGCCTGCCAGTCCATGGACAACAAGGTCATCGTCTTCAGCGCCCTCAACCGCTTCAAGATGAACAGGAAGAAGACCTTCAGCGGACACATGGTCGCGGGCTACGCCTGCGCGATCGACTTCTCCCCCGACATGAGGTACCCTTCGTCACCTACATCCCCCCACTGAGGGCATCACTGCCCACCCTCAGATGACTAGGCCATTCATTAGCTCACTGTCCCCACTGATAGAGCCTTCCCTAAGGTGACTAGGTCATAGTCAATATTGGCCCTCTGCGGGTTAACTTGACACAACTGACTTACATAATACATCTCCACTGAAGGCATCACTGTCTACCCTAAAATGTATGGCCATAGTTGATGCTATCCCACTCTAGAACTTCACAAATATGTACAGATATAATGATTTTTCTTCTCAGTAAATGATGTACTTATGACATTCGTAAATAATAAATTAAGTTGGTATGTGGTGGGATTCGAACCCACGACCCACAAGACCCTGAGCAACCGACGTTATTAGCTTTTACATAGTTATCTGTTGACAATTGTATCCATGACAACTAAATCAGTCTATTTCTTTTAATATTGCTTGAACGTTTATCCGACTCGAAGGACCATAAATGTAGAATGGACTATCAAATGCTTATTATAATAATTCTATTCTGATATTTGTACTGGAATAATTTAATTTTGGTGGTTTATAAATATAGGGAAAAACCAGTATATTGAATGGTTATTGGCTGACGTAAGCTTAATTTCAAATTCAATATAAATTCAATTTTTGTTCCGTTTCCAACATGAAATGTGTCGGGATACCTTAGTTTTGGAATTTACAGCTGGTTTTTGATATTTTTTTTTATTTTAGTATTTAATTTATACTCGTAGTTCTTTAATCTATACTATTATAATAAATCGTAAACACACACTTCTTTGTTGCCTAACATGTCAACAATTACAGCATATTTTTGAATAATTATTTTTTTAATAAAAAGCCACACACTTACGTCACGCTTTAGGCTATATATTTTCACTCGATTAAACTTAGGGGGTAAATATTTTGGATAAAAACCCTAATGTGGGAAAGAGACCATAAGTTGCTGCCAACATCAAGGAAGGAAAATTGCCATCCTTTGTCATCATGTCATATCTGTCATTTTGACATTTGCAATTCAATTTGACAAATGTAATCAATAAAATAATTTTCATTATTTCATGCGAATGAAGTCGCACGGGAACTGCTAGTATCCTTAATAAAAAGGTTATCGTGCAGAACCTTGCGCCGATTACTTAAATATAAATTATCAAATTACCTCGATTCATTAAAAATATTTACAAAACTTTTTATACGGGTGATGTTATTTTAACATCACGCGATTTTATCAATATTTATTGTGCATTGTCGTTATATAATCACGTGTGCAATTATTTTTTATATAAAATTTCGATGGATGTTTGTTTGAGTTTGTAGTCTAAGCAGATGAACGGATTTCGATGTCGATTTTGTCATAGTCTGTAAGAACACATATGCTACACTATTTTTTTTTTAATACACGCGGACGTAATCGCGGGTGTAAGCTAGTATTTTTATAATTATTTATCACGATTACTTGTTTTGAATTTTATGAGTTACTGAATCTATTGAAATGTGTTGTGTCACGATTACTGCATAGAATCGCGTTTGATGACGACATTGCTATCGGTTAAATTGGCTCTTATACTATTGCCTTATCGCTCTTGTACTATTGTCGAACAACATGCTTAGTACCTCCTGTTTCCATAGCCGAAACATTCACAGAACATTTTTACTTTAATGTTTGTGTTTTCAAAGTTTCAAATTTGATACCGAGGTATATATCGCATTGGACACCTACAATCTATTTTCGTTTAATATTAGGCTGTTTACATGTTGCCTTTGACTGATATTCTTCGAGTTAGAAAACAAATAGGAGCAAATCTTGAAAACATATAAAAATACTAGCTGTCGCTCGCGTCTCCGTCCGCGTGGTATAAAAAGAAACGAAAGCATGTATCCTATGTGTTCTTCCACACTATCCTCTACATCTATGCCGAATTTCATCGAGATCTGTTCAAACGTTTAGGCTAGAAACTCTAACAAACATCCATCCATGTTAACTTTCGCATTTATAATATTAGTAAGAAGTGAGATATAAAAACACAATAAGGGTACATTTATACATTTTGTAATTCGATTAAAAAAATCATCTTTTTAAGGTTTACGGACAATCAGCATATTAAATCTTTGAAAACAGTTTATCCGATCTCACATTTTATATTCTACTGAGTTCTTTTACCTGTTATGCATTTTTCCTTGACGTATATCTTGATGCTATTAGATTTCCCATTTTATGCATTTGCTACTGAAATATGACGTCACAAAATTCCAAGTAACATTGTTTGGTACATGTGACTGTTATACTTAGTTGAAATAGTTTTGTAACTTTTTTACTGGACTCTCTTTTGTGATTTTTCAATTACGAGTACCGTTCGAATGATTACATGTATTAAAAAGAAACCAAAATCTAACACTGAGTCGACGAACGACGGTGTTAGGACGTTCACCTGATTGTAAATATTGTTTTCAAGTATATAAATCCAAGTATATATATTATGGTATTATTTATACCCGGTCTGTAAAAATAAAAATACTTACTTACTAATATTATAAATGCGAAAGTTTGGATGGATGGATGTTGAAATTTTTAACCTAAACTGCTTAACGGTTCTCTATGGCATAGATATAGAGGATAATCTGGAAGAACTCATAGGCTACTTACATACTTTTGTTTATTTTAAATTCACGCGGACGAATTCGCGGGAGATAGCTAGTACAGAAAACCAATGTTATACTATACGTGTATATGGTATTTGTATCCGTACTTAAATAATTTTATAAGTATTATTATATTTTGTATGTTATAAGTATTCATATATTTCTTGCATGTACTGACCGGATTTGTATGCACGTAATTATTTAATGAGAGCCAAAAAAACGGCCTTGCGTTTTCTCAGAAGGATATGAGTTTGCTTATTGCTTTTAATTTGCACTAAGTTCTGCGGTTGCTGGCATCTTTATATCATACTAGATTTCGCCCGCGACTCCGTCCGCGTTGAATAAAAAAAACAAACAAAAGTGGGTACTCTATGTGTTCTTCCAGATTATCCTCTACATCTATATCAAATTTCATCGAAATCCGTTCAGCCGTTTAGGCTACAAGCTCTAACAAACATCCATCCATCTAAACTTTCGCATTTATAATATTAGTATGATCAGAGTTATACCTAAAATAAAGACCGACTTCAGTTTTGATCGGTACCCTCACCGAGTAGTTTCGGACTCTTTGGGGTCCATCTTGATTAATTTACTGTGTTTCAAGATAGTTTAAACGATTTCTTTGCTATTTTTACAGTTTTCTAAATATTTTTATATTTATGCTAAATGACTAAATAATTCAATAATTAAACGGTTCACAATTTAATGATAAGTTATCTCGGTTGCCACACTATGATTAGTCCTGGCAATGACATTGTCTAAGGCGACCTTTAAAAACAATACGCGATTAATTAAATAAACACTATGAATAATATATTCAGCCATAGACAAGGATTGTTCAAAGATTAAAAAAATACGAGTAAAGGTTAATATATCCAATAGTTTACTTTATAAGTAGTATTTTCGGATGAGGTCAATCAAAATTAATCGAGAATTGATATCTCGGTATGATTTACTTCTTACTAATATTATAAATGGAAATGCATGGATGGATGTTTGTTAGAGTTTGTAGCCTGAACTGTAAAACGGATGTCGAAAATATTGGCATATATACAGAGAATAGAAGAACACATAGGCTTAATTTTGTTTTTAACTCGCTTAATAATTAGACGGATTCGCGGGCGAAAGCCACTTTACAATAAAATAAAACCTTTGTACCTTTGTTAGTATTATTCAGCATTATTTGTACAATTGGAAAGTTAGTCATAGCGTGGATATGACGATAAACTTTTTAATTGTACAATCAGCTGCAAAAGTATCTATATAAATATCTTTAGAAACTTGTATACAGGTTTTGTTTCATATATATAAAATCACGAATCCCTCTGCATGCTTACTAAAACGTGTTTAAATATTTTTGACACCGAAGGCCTATCAAATTTCTCAAGCTTTGAAAAGTATACATACCTGTGCAGCTGACTGTACCTCAGTCATGACTTGATTCACATATTGTATTTTTTCTTAGATATCCAATGCCAAAACATCTATAAAGAATAATAGGGTCATGAAATCGGCGCAACACTAGATTATCTGCAGACATGTCGCATCCCTATGACATCTGTCAATGTCATTCTGTATAAGGAATAAGCGCGCCATTCTTGCGGTTAGTGGTCTGAGGGTAGTAGTTAATTACGCTTTTACAATTATATTAATTGTCCAAAAATAGGTATCCATTTCAATCACAATTTGCTTGTTACTTTTATACATTTTTTTATAAATTACGCGATATCTCCTTATCTATTGTTACCTTTGGCAGTTAATTAAATAAAACATTCTGTTGGCGTGCTGAGGTCAATAGCCAATCAGCTTAATGGGGCTTAATAGGGCGCCGTCCGCAGTAACATGATATCAACTTTACAATGTAAGGGAAGTAAGTTATACAGTTACTTAATAAGGAAGTATACAGGATGATTCTTAACGGACGGATAAAAATGTTTGTTTAAGTAGAGGACTCTGTTTAAGATCCTGTATATCTGCCCCCTCGACAAAGTGACTTTCGATTAGCGATGTCGCTTGTAGAACCGACGAAATGTGTCAAGAAGTATACGAATGAATACGTGACAAGTGACTTATCAAATGTTGTCAGTTCCATACATTTTAGGCTTTTCAATCAGCGATAGCGATAATCGATTGTTACTTTGTCTAAGGGAGCCGAAGAGCAGAAAGTCTGTTGGAATCTTTACTCCTACTTAGCTTTAGTTTATCGGAAGCATTTACATCTATACTAATATTATAAAGAGGAAAGATTTGTATTTTTGTATGTATTGAAATAACTTAAAAACTACTGGGCCGATTTCAAAAATTCTTTCACTGTTAAAAAGCTACGTTATCAGTCAGTAACACAGGT